TGAATTTCAAGAATTCTGAGCAATTTCAGGGGTTAATATGAGGTATAACAAGCAGTAAAGTTTACCCGTTATCACGCAAAAAGGAGAACACTGCCAACGACATGCACTGCCAAGGACAGATGACCGATCCCATAAAATTCAGTCTGACAAGACCAAAGATTCTCTTATTTTTTTGTTTGTCTGTGCCTTCTTTGTTATAATAACTAAATATTTGAGAGCAAAATACTTTGTTGGTAAAACTCAGGAATGGCAGTTTTAAAAGATTAGTAAATTATGGTAATAAATTGTAAAAAGATTCATTACAAAGATTTATAAATGAAAAGAATTTTAAAAATATGTAGAATTTTGTAGTTTCAGCTTGTGAATATATTTAATCCAGTGGTGAATGTCACCTCACTTTCTACCTTTTTATTTAATCTTGTTTAATATTTTTTCAGTTGAATTTTCCATGTAATCTGATCTGTTAACCCTAACCCAAGAGATCAATAAAAACCTCTTTTTATTGTTTTTATGCTTTGTTTTCTGACAAAATTAAAATTAATCTTTAATCTATTTATACTAAAACCCACTCTAAACTACGGTACCTTTGTAAATTATTGTAGTAATATCCAGACATAAATTGAATCCTTAGGCATTTGATGAAGTTTTAAAACTAGAAAAAAACTAATTTTAAATCTGCTTGAAGCTACAATTTTAAAGTTGCAAGGAGAGTGAATTTTGACCACTATGCAGATAAGTTTCATTAAATTGACATAACTGCTCCTCAGTAATCTATACCTGAAGTCAATAAATGAAAATTCATGAAGGATTGGGGAAAAAAAAGCCTCATCTTAGTTTCATTGTAATTTTGTGGTAAACTCTAAACATTAAATTAAATGTGAAAATTAACCTTATTTAAGTAAAGATGCTGAATTTGAATTGTTAGCAAATGAATTCCCTACCAGTACTTTTTTAAAATTTAAAATAAATTTTTTTGAAATCCAAATGGTATTACCATAATCTCTTTAAACTTTTCATTCCTTGGTCGCTTCTATGAAAAGACCTGTGTTAACAACCGTCAAGTCATTACTTCTATTAAAAGGTACTTCTGAATTAAAATAATAACAAATACATAATTTTGTTTGTTGATATAAGGATTAACATTTGCTTTTTAAATTATGTGTGATCAGTTACTTAGTGAACAAAATCAAAGTAACTATCTTTTGATATTCATGTTTGCTAAGGGAGATGATTTCCCTCTTTAAAAATTGGTCAATAATTTTGGTCAATAATTTTGGGCAAAAGGTGGCCCAGCATAAATATTTTTTAATTTCTTGTTGGTTAAATGGACTGCTTTTTTTTCATTCTTGTNATTGAATTATTTATGTTTGTACATTACTTTGCAAAAGATTGAGAAATCTACAACATTTGAAATACACACAAAAAAAAAAAACTTTTCAAAGACATGTTTCAACATGGCTTGTGTCATCTTGGTCATGGCTTAAATATACCTAAGCTTCAAATCTGAAAATAAACTTGGATACAATGTGGTTACAATATTTCTAGCTATTGATAGGATTTTCTGAAGCAGTTTGTGTTTCATTTTCTAGTGTCTTTTATAAACAAAATTAATGAAGTGGCAAACATAAATTGATTAAAACCTCCTTTCGTATAATGTTTTTCGAAGGAAATTGTAATAAAAGCAGATGTATGCAATTATAATCATGAAACATAAGATCACACAGAGATGGGTCGTATTAATTTCACATTGTTTATGTCTGTTTTTGTCTTTATAGCTTGTCTATATATATACTAGTACTTTGTAGTATCAATTCTTTGCTAAATGAAAGATGGTGCAGGAGACATGTCTTAACAAAGTTTTTCTTGTTTCTAGATGTCTTTTTATTATTTTGTTTGCTAATATGTACACTTTTGTACATAGGATGATCACTTGTATTATTATTAGTAGCAGTAGTAGTGTTTTCAAAAAAATTGACACTTGAAAATGTATAATTGTCATCCAGAGGCCAACAAATGAGCAAAAGGCCATCTTCTAACAATAATTTAGTATTTTCTAATTCTCATATGAAGTCAATAAATCTAATCACTGACTGTACTTTGCTTTTACGAAAAAAAAATATTTCTTAACAGTACTTGAAGTATGTAGCTTGTAACCTCCATGATTTTTTACGTAATTTTCTTACATGATGTAGTACTGATAGTTAAAAGTCAAAAGTGAATCTTACCTAGGAGCTCACACTTAAAGGTAAATTGAAACACAATATGGAATCTTTGCCTGAAAACTGCAAGGAAGGATGATTACAAGGAATTTTTGATTATTGTTTGATATTCAAATAAACTTACTTTCTATTTACTTCTTTGTCAAACCAATAGAAAATTAAAGAATAATTAATTTTGAAAATGTGTTGTTGATATTTATTTCTGTTCCTGAAAACTCTTAAATTCACATACTTTCTTTTGTTTTTTACACCATGTGAAACCAGAGATGTCATGGAGATTTTGATTCTGTACATGGGGAAAGTTTAAATCTGTTCAATACATCAGAGTCCAGTTGTTTGAAGGCCGATTAGCACTAATCCAGGGTTAAATTTTGATTCAGGTTTCCTTATTTCTCTATTCAAGAACCTTTATGAGATAATTTCCCCTGTCCTTTTTAGAGCATTCGATCATCAAATTGTAGACACAAAATAATTAAACTGAACTTTCTCCTAAAGCTTTCAGATCTGAAATCAAATTTCCCGCTAACCCTGGATTGACTTAACCCAGCTTTGAACAACCCGGCCCAGGTCTCTTAAAGATTCTCTGCTTTTTTTATCAATGTTTTTTGCTAATAATCCCTGTCAAGCTTCTGTTAGTGGCATGATGAGCTTTGCCTCGCCGAAGAGTTCTAATTCTTAATTAATGGTCACAAGAAATGGGAAATCAAAAGATACAAACAAAAATTGCTACAGAAATTTAGATTAGCCCTAACACAGGGTTAAATTTTAATTCAGGTTTCTATATTTCTCTTTTCAAAAGCTGTTTTGGCATAATTTTCCCAATTCTTTTTAGAGCATTCAATCATCAGATTGTAGACAAATGGAATTAAATTTTTCTTTTAAAGCTTTCAGATTTGAAATCAATTTTCACACTAACTGTGGGTTATCTTATCCCACCTTTGAACAACCTGGCCCTTGAGTACACCTCTCCTTCAGTTCACCAGCTCCTAGTGTCCTAAGACGGAACATTTCCAGGAAAACATTTCAAAGCTTCCTACTTCACCAACAGTAAATAACAGGGTTGACAAGGGAAGCTAAAAAAACCACACACAGAGCACAGCCTACCATAAGAACATTCACTGCTGCTGCACCAGGTTCTTTCCAGCTGGATGTTAGGATAACAACCCCAGCCATTATTGTTGTCACGTAGGTCAGAGGCAATGCTAATAAAATGACCAGACTATCGTCTTTGTAGCCCTCTTTTCTTTCTTTATTTGTTTAACTTCTTCTTGTGGTAGTTGCTCTGATTTCATTCTTTTATTCTGGCCGTGCGATTCAAAAACCAAAAAAAGAGTTTGTGTAAACCAAAGTAGCTAGAGAGACCATCATAATGAACAGTGAAATGCTATGCCAGATAACCGCATGGACGAAGAGAATTTCTGTGTCTTTGGTGGCTGTCAAAATAATGTTTTGAATACTCACATTCACAGGTATTGCAAAGAACAAGGAAAAAAACTACACAAGTGTAAGCCTGTGGTTAGTCACAATTTCCTGATATCTTAACAGTCCTGGATCTAGCAAACCTAGTTCCCAGGGTATTCTCTCACACTCCTTGAGGAGGGAATAGAGAGATCCCTGAGAATGACCACAGGACATTGTCCGTATCAGTCATAATTATACTATTTTGAATCGATTACTGACCTACTGAGACACTCTGTGATGTGAGTGGTGTCTGTACTGTCGATAGGATCACACAGAGGAGATAACACAGGATGAGCTTGAATTGCCAGATAATACTGCATGTCTGTGGTTTAAAGATGTTAGGGAAAAAAGCCTCACAACAAAATTTGTTACTTGATTAATAATAGACATGAAAAAATTACTCAGTTCTGATTGGTTAAGATAAATGCAGTTTTCAGGTAATTCAGCAGAGAAGAGAGTTAATTCAGTGCAGAAGGGGGTTAATTCAGCGGAAAGAAAGTAACAAACCAGACAATATCAGAGAAACTCAGAATTACCAAACTCACTGAACAATTCCTTGAACTGTTTGGCTGGACTTTGAAATATTTTGCGCCTTACAGATGTAAAAATTTCATTTTGTCTTATTGTTATGATCGTATGCAGTTGTTTTGACCGAATGCACAATGTCACCCGCAGGGTTCAAATAAATTATTTTTGCACATGATGCGCACACTTTTCTTATGCATAATTATGATAAGCTATGTCGTATTTTTTCATGTATATTATTAATACATAATCACATGATTTTTCTCGCGCAATTTGGAATAAATAAGCACTGGTAAATTTTTTCAAAGACCACAAATTGCACTTGCCCTACGGGCTCATGCAAAAATTTGCTCATGGATGCTTATTTATCCAAAATGCACTTAAAATCATGTGATTACATGTACAAGTAAAATACGCAGATACATAAATTGCATTAGGGTAGCGCGTGACCAATGTTCACTCCTAAACAACCCGCCAAAAAGGAAGTAATTAATGACAAACAGGTGACTGAAAAGACTGACCCAAATTGTCCGACTTCTACGATGCCTTTGCAATCAGCGAGTTTCATCCATCAGGAACTACAGTACTGTTTCTTTCACCGTAATTTTCTTCACACATGGTTCTGATGTTGGAGACTGAATATTTGGATAGCATTAAAAGAAAGACCAACAAACATTCAACTATAAAATTTTGCCACTTCTGCAATGTTTTCCTATCAAAGGATACCAATTTTCAGTGTATCCGACTTACAGAATTCATCAGGATGGTAGGCCTGTTGACTGGCAGCCAGCGACGAGCCATCCTATGATCAAAATGAAAAATGGTAAACAAAACAAATAAAAAGAACTCTCAAATACCTATACCTTACAACACTCTAAGGAAAAACGCTCCAATAACCACATCTTGGTAGGAGTCTATTCTCAAAGAATGATAGCAAATAATTGATTTACTCAAATCAGTTTTTGCAGATAAGATGGTTTATGCAAGAAACTGGATGATGTCAAACATTACTGGCAAAACTGAATGATATTGTCTTCATGATGATGTTCATTTGTTGGCGTCTTGGACCATTGCTCTGCTGTTGTACTCTGTCTTCTAAGAATCCAAAACTTTTTGTCAAGCTGGAAGGATTAGGAATGTATTTAATAAGCTGGGTTTGGGTTTTTTATTATTACTAGATTTGCCAAGAAAAGATTTTTGAGTAAAGGTCACAAGAAATAGAACCTAAATCATTTTAAATGTGAAAATTGAGGTAATACATAACCCTCTTTATTCAAGGCTCTCCTTCCATTTTGTAACAATTCTATGTAAGATTAACAGACTATTAAGTCAGGGAGGTTACTAAAAGCATAGGCAGCATAGCGGGGGCTCCTCCAAACAAAAATTTGGGGGGACACAGCTCCCATTCCCACCTTTTTGTGCTGAAAATATTGCTAGCATAGCATGCAGAGATTTTCTTTGTGTCTATGAAATTAGACACTATTTGATACTGTACTATCAAATTTTCTTTAGTGTTTAGCAACCAAGCTCAAAATTTACCATCTTCCCAAATCTATTCATTAAATAATTATTTGAATTGCTTATAATTTTAAGAAGCACGAATAGTTTTTTTGCACAAGTTTGTCATAAAAATTCTTTCTGTTACATTGGGATGGAGATGAGAATTCAGTTTTTTTTTTCGGCAGAATTCAAACTTCATATCTGAATAGGTACAAATATCATTTAAAATTTTTTTTCCATTTTGTATATTTTTAAGGTGTCTTAATGACATGAGAAATCAAGATTATCCTTTAATGCAACCAAGTACTGAAACAAAGTAGAGCACAGCCCTGGAATCTTTTCTTAGGAATTTCTAAGAATTTGATTTAGGGTTAGTTCTTAACTCTTACTGTAAGGCGCAATTGAGCATATCCACATGGAATTTGTGGACTACAAATTTAGTAATTATTTAGTAATTCTTAGGAATTACTAGGAATAAGAGGTATGAATTTTCATGGTAAATTCAAACAGGAATTCAATTCCTAACTGCAACAACTCTAGTTCTAAAAACCTAGAAATTCCCCAAAATTCTATGCTTATAGCCAACAGGAATTGGAATTCTTAGAAATTCCTAGGATTTCCAACTCAGAGCACTAATCACTTCCCTGAAAGACTGTAAATTTGAAAACTTGGAGGAAATTCCAGGACTGTTTAAGAATTATTAGGAATTTGAGGAAAACTTCGGGGAAACTACTAAAAAATAAATACATGCATCAACTCCTGACTAAAAATTGAAATAGTCAATGAAATTTATTTACGTGCTTAATTTAGATTTACATGTAAATTACTTTCAATTGTATATTAACATCAACATGTAGTAATATTAGGATGAAATTTGATTTCTTTTACCTTTCTTGAAAATTTCATAAAAACTATCCTCAAATAGTCAAATAGTCCTAATGAATCATAAACTATGTTTATTCCAATAAATACTATCAGTCCATTAAATCGTCTTCAAATTAATAATTTCATTTGGAATGATAATACAAATAGTATTTAACTCTTTCCTCACAGAGTCAGGGTTTCATTTAATTTTGTGCGGTTGTAACTTCTTTGCATAAACCTCTTGTGTGTTAAAATTCAAATGTAAGCTGTCAAGCAGCATTTTCACGTTTTACTGTTTATTTTTGTTGATTCTGCAAAATTAAATTCAAAGATTTGTTCTCAATTTTGACTTAACACTCTGGGAGTGAAGGGCTTAATTACTGTTAAATAATGAATATTTGAATGAAAATCTTCTTGTAACTGTAACAATAAATTGTAATGAAGTTATCCTAAACTGCAGACTAAGCAGCTGTTTGTCTTTTTTCACTGGGCTCGCAGCTTTTCAAACGTGACTAAAATAATCCTGAAACTTTTAGCTTGCTGATGTATTTGTTTCATTGTAAAGCGTACGCTTAAGAAAATGTGACATGCAAGTGACCGATTCGATTCTACCGAATATCGCAATTTTTACTCACCACAAACTTTCAAAATCGAAGCTTTATAAATTGCCGCTCGACCCTTGTACCGGCCAGTTGACAAGTGAACTGTTGTCCCTTCTTTTAACTCACACCCCTTTAATTTACAAGGATATTTTCATTGTAACCAGCTATAAAATAAAAATCTTATCGCTTCGTTAACCAATTTCTTTCTAGAAAATTTTTATTAACACAACTGTTTTCTTTAAAATTACAGATTTATATCGACCAAATGTTCACATGGGAAGCAGCACACCCCTAGAGGGAAATCATGTGACTCTATCATGCAATGTTGATGCTAAACCAGAACCAAATGTATCTTGGACCAGGAATGGATTTCCTATAAATACAATTGAAAACGCCAGGATATCTATTTCGGGTCATCAAAAGACGCTGGCTATAGCAAATTTACGGAGAACAGACAGTGGAGAGTACCGATGTGTGGCGAACAATAGTGTCGGAAACTCTAATTCTGTTGCTTCCAAATTGGACGTTCTATGTAAGTAAACATACATTATTATTCGCCGGTCAGATTGACAAGCTTGGTTTATGTGGAGCTGTAAAATCAGTCTGACTCAGAATTAGAAAAAGCGGATCTTTCTACGTTTGACATACGTGTATGAACTTTACCAAAACGTCTTTTGCATTGTACATCGTTAGTTCACAATTTTATTTCAAATCCAATCTATATATTTAAAAATATATTTTTCATTATCAAAGCCGTATGATTTTTCAATAAAAACGCTGCAGGGATACTATTAAATCTCATAAGTTATGAACAAAATACTCGAAGGTGATTGAATATCAGTAACCGGATTTAAAGCTAAAAGGAGAGTGTATGCGTCATGCTTGTAATAACACAGCGCACAAAGATGATCATGCCTTCACAATTATGCAAGATTCGTTACTATTTGACAAATCGGGGTACATTTACTCGCGAAAATTTTTTTTTTTAATTTAATTCATTGCATTTACTTATTGTTCATTTTATTACGAATACATAAAATTGTTTGAATGAATTGGTAATAGGATTATCTACCGTCCAACTTTCTCCACATCATCCTCGTGATCATTAAATCGGACTCACGCATCGAGTTCGCTCGATTTGATTTTGTTATCACTGGTATGATTCCAGGCATGGTTGGATCGGAGCTGGTCCTATTACAATTAATAAATAATGGTCACACACTTGCAATTTCGGTGCCTTCCAAATCAATATTGAATGTAGAGTGCGTGTAATTCTTGCAGGATTACTTTAGTAAATACCTTTCTTCTTGGTCCATTATTCCCTCTTGTATGTTTCTCCTTATCATTTCGAGGTGATGCTTTGCAGTCTTTTGCAATCTGTCTTAATCTTTTCCAACCTGTGCTATCCTCGTTTCTTTTGGGCCTTTTTGCCATTGTACATTTCCAAACTGTTTTAAGGTGTTCTTCTTTCTTCAGGCAATTCTATATAATAGAATTGTTAACCTTTGAAGGTGAAAATTTCTTAGCTTGGCTAACGGATCTTCGTGTAAACACCCTGTACCCCAAGCATTAACCATTAAGGGAGGCAATTATCACTAATTCAGCTAGTTTTAAAACTGCAGATGATCATGTGCCCTTGTGAATCTATATTACAAAATCGTTCTCTTCTTCGATATTTCGGATTCTTTTCCCCTTTTTCTTACAAATATATCCTTGTCGCACAGGCACTCTTTTCATAAGCCTGTCTTTGTTTCAGATAGTTTTTTGCTTCTCTGGTGGGGTTACAGGATACCCCTGCTCAAAACCGGTCCTTACCGACTGAGAGTTGTTCTCGACTGCACATCTATTGTTATAGCAACCAAGTTAACATATCTATTCTCTATTTTACAGACCGACCTCAG